CAAAGGCAGCCTATTCTAAGCTGCTCTCACCTAGTTTCCATTCCTTTCCTCTTACATGAATCTTTTAATATTATCAGAGACATTTTTGAAAAATGAGATCTGAGGGAGAGGCTTCACTTGCATAAGCCAGGAGAGAACTAGGCTTATTAAAACTACTTGGGGGGGGGGGGGAGAGAAATGGAAAAACCAACAGCTCCAAAACATTCATTTCAAAGACGCTGCCTACTTTCACTCAGAGGTGGGATAATCTTTTTGGCTAATGCACACTGTTAAGTAAGATTGCAAAGGCGCTCATCGTGGACCCAGCACAGAAGGCTCTGTCACAGCAGGAGCCCTCCAGCATTAAACGACATCATATTAGAAGTTTCCATTGCAACATCACCCGACTAATAGGCAGATTAAGGCCTTCGGTATCCTTAGCAATGCACAAGGGCATTCTCAGCTGCTTTTGTCCAGCTGGTGTGTACATCTACAGTGGTACCTCGGGTTAAGTACTTAATTCATTCCGGAGGTCCGTACTTAACCTGAAACTGTTCTTAACCTGAAGCACCACTTTAGCTAATGGGGCCTCTTGCTGCCACTGCGCCGCCGGAGCACGATTTCTGTTCTCATCCTGAAGAAAAGTTCTTAACCCAAGGTACTATTTCTGGGTTAGCGGAGTCTGTAACCTGAAGCGTCTGTACCCCGAGGTACCACTGTATATCTGTCTATCTATCTATCTATCTATCTATCTATCTATCTATCTATCATCTATCTATCTATCTATCTATCATCTATCTATCTATCTATCTATCTATCTATCTATCTATCTATCATCTATCATCTATCTATCTTATCTATCTTATCATCTATCTACAAATAATAAATTATTATTATCTATCTAAATTCCCAGAGGGATTTAACAACCAGTCCTTCTTCCTTGGGAACTCAGGGAATTGTATCTCTCTGAGGGAAATAGGGGATCGCCGTAGAATTCTCACTACAGTGGTACCTCAGGTTACATACGCTTCAGGTTACAGACTCCGCTAACCCAGAAATAGTGCTTCAGGTTAAGAACTTTGCTTCAGGATGAGAACAGAAATCGTGCAGCAGCAGGAGGCCCCATTAGCTAAAGTGGTGCTTTAGGTTAAGAACAGTTTCAGGTTAAGAACGGACCTCCAAAACGAATTAAGTACTTAACTTGAGGTACCACTGTATCCTTAACAAACTACAGCTCTCTGGATTCTTTGTGACTGCTTAAAGTAGTATGGTAAAGGTAAAGGGACCCCTGACCATCAGGTCCGGTCGTGACCGACTCTGGGGTTGTGGCGCTCATCTTGCTTTATTGGCCGAGGGAGCCACCCACAGCGCCACCCACGTCCCTAATGTAGTGTGATACTGTTTCAAATGTATAGTGCCAATGGGACCACAATCTTAGTGACCAAATGGGTCTGTAGGGAGGAGAAGGCAATTTCTTAGGCATTCTGAGCTCAAGATGTTCAGGACTTCGTACAATAGTAACAAAATCTTAACCTTGGTATGGTAACCAGTGCAATGTAGTGGTTAGTATGGACTAAGTCTTGGGAAACCAAGGTTTGGGAAACAAGGGGAGATTTGATCTCCACTCAGCCATGAAGCTCACTCTGGGTGCCTTTGAGACAGTCACAGTCTCTTAGCCTAACCTACCTTAGAGGGTTGTTGTAGGGATAAAAAAAAAAAAGGAAATGATGGCAGCTTGTATCCCTTAGAGGAAAGCTGGGATATAAATGTAATAACAAATAAATTAAATTAAAGAATATTGGCAGCCAATGCAGTTCTTTTACGTGCCGGCAGAACGATGCTCTGCTTAGTTCCCTTGTTGCTAAATTCTGAATCATCACACAATCCTGAAAATTTAGAATTCCAGCTGGTTTTTAAAAAATGCATGTTTAACATTGCTTTGCCACTTTTTAGATATTCAATAGAGCTGCCTGTTTCTAGACCTGCAACTCCACTTAAGTCTCTTTTGCTCTGCAGGCAAGAGAAAACATTGTGCCTAATGCACCTGTGATAAGGTGAGGGAATATACTGGCCTTTTAGGTTATTCATACAGATCGATTCTATGCACGTTTGCTTAGAAGCAGATCACCCTGACTTCAAAGGGACTTATGCATGAGTAAGAATACACGGCATTGCAGCTATATTCTGTAGTCTGGCTTTTCTACAAAATGTGCCAAAAAAGAAAATAGTTTATAAGGATTTATTTGTCCAGAAGTTTACTCTGCTGATTGCTTGCTATTTTGGTGCTAATGTTAAATCTCCTCAAAAGAAGGATAGCCATATTCCAGCTGCAAAACATTTTTTATTTCACACGGGACAGGGTGGGGATTACAAGCTTGCACCAAGTAACTTCAAACCTAAATGAATTATGCAACCCATATCAATTATACAAGCTGAGCACAATTTTTCACAATTTATTTTGCTTTGGCTGTTCTTAGGGATGGATAAAGGACTAAAGTCCTATCCCTAGCCTTCAGAATTTCACTTAGCCCTACTGCCAAATATTTTATCAGGCACTTTCAAGCATCTCTATGCCCAGGTGTTTTTGTTTAATTAAAAAAACACCCATCTTGAATCTAAGTCGCTTAGGTTGTTGGGGGAGGCAATGGGCAGAAGAATATTGTTATTTGTATGTCTGAAATTTTTGGACATCTGAGGAACCAAATCCAGTAGTAATAAACGTTAATAGTTCATCCTTAACTCTAGCACTGGGAACAGAAGGATTAGAATTAATGTGTTATTTCAGCTGTGAGAGACATTGACATTTACCTTCTGTTTAAATTTATAGAGTGATTTAGGAAGGAGGTTTAGAAGGCAAATTACAGTGGTACCTTGGGTTACAGACGCTTCAGGTTACGCATTTTTGGGTTGCGCACCACGCCGAACCCAGAAGTACCGGAACAGGTTACTTCCGGGTTTCGGCACTCGCACATGCACAGAAGCACTAAATCGCGCTTTGTGCATGCACAGAAGCGCTGAATCACGACCCGCACGAGTGCAGATGCGGTGCTGCGGGTTGCAAACGTTGTGGGTTGCAAACGTGCCTCCCACACAGATCATGTTTGCAATCCAAGGTTCCACTTCACAAAGGGGGAGACTGGAAATCACTGCAGCAAAGACTTGTCTGTATAGCTACAGGACCAACAACCTCCCTGTTTACTGAAGTTTGGTTTATGCTCTTTGCATCTGCTAGATGGCAGTGTGAGTCACTTGGGAAAATACAGATTTCTTGAGACAAACAGAAAAGCCCACTGCAGCTTCACCTGCTTAGTATCACCCATTTTCTGCTACATGCAGTGTATTTAACCAGATGTCCAGGTCCTGATGCACTTGGCTGGACTTCTAGCTTTCTTGGTTTGCTATGGGATTTCTTGGCATTGATGACCTATAATGAGTTTTCAGAGTCAGATTCTATAGCAGTTGGGAGCTTGCTAGAATCATATGAACTGTCCAGATAGCAGGTGTCCTTGTTCCACAGAGCTTTGCCCCTGGACACTCTCCACCCCCTAGGGGCAGGGAAGACTGGAGGCAAAAAAATGGGATGCAGAAGGCTGTGCTGCTCTGCTATAGCTGCTGACTCCTCTGACCTGGGTTGCTTCTCTGGCGGTGGTGGGGCAGCTTCCTCTTGCATTTACACTGCCTGAGGCGGCTGCTTCATGCTACCAAACAGGTGGGCTGGCTCTGATAAAGAAGTATTTCATCTTGTCTGTCCAAAATCTTCCAACACTCAGCTTCCCTGAATGATCCCAGGCTCCAGTATTATGCAGCAAAAACCTCTCTCTTCACATCCTGAATAATTTCATGAGCAATTTTATTTCAAGTCCCTCCTTGCACACCTTATTCCTAGCTCCAAACGGTAACTTTTCTTCATGGGGGTGTGTGGATTCCTCCTCCCTTTTCAGTTGCCCCTTTCCATAGCTTTTCCAGAGCTGCCACAACCTTTTCATGATGAAGTTTTTCTGTAGTGAACGCCTTCTCTCAGAACTTTTCATTTGACAATTGGGAGTACACTATAATTTTCCATTCCCGTATCTACATTCCAGTGATGCGAAGAGGAGAAAAGGTCCCTGGGGTAACAGCGTAATTATTGAAAGGTATTGCTTCCCCTTTTCTAAGCCCATTGACTACGAGCCAGGATTTCATTGCATTTAAAAACACTTCTATTCAAGCTGTGTTATACTGTGGCTGCTGACAGTACTCAGGTCTCCCTCTCTATATTGGCAAATGCAAATTTTTATCTCAAAAAATAAATAAATCCTTCAAGTATTTAAAAAGACGAGGAAATATCTGACCTTTTTGTGTGTGGTGTTGGAAGTTGTACAGAAACAAAAGTGGAAGAAGCCCAGGTCTATAAGGAGATCTAGCGCCTGGGATCTCAAGGCCCCTTCTCATGCGCCCAACTAATTCCACAGCAGATATAAAGATAATTGTGGCCTTTGCAGCACTGGCTGTTATGCTCGTTCATGCAGATAAAATCAGCAGTACTACACTGGTCAAATGGAGGAACCATCAATTAACATTCATAATGTGTGCTGGTAAGTAATGACCATTTCCCTGTCTTTACTCTAAACGGTGACCGCTTGCTGGGATATGTGCCAAATCCCATCAATGGCAACCAGCATGCCCAATGTCTGACAACATCTGAGGGGTCAAAGGTTGCCTCTACCTGCATTGAGCATATACCACTTTGAAAGAAGAATGCAGTGTCGTTTTAGCTAATACCCCATTCCTCCTTTTTTCATAGCTTTTGCCAGCTATTCCATCTTGCTCTCCATTTTGCAGTATTCAATTTGTAATATATAACTGAGCTGATATTTTTATTGTCTAAAATTATGTTTGAACAACCCCAAACTTCTTTAGCAACCAAAGTGTACCATTTCTGTAGGAATACCTGGGTAAAATGTAGACTGGAGCTACGGCCATCATGTCAGAGGAGGAAAATGCAGTTAATTATTTGTCTGTAACACAGTCTGTCTACTTACCGGTGCAATTTCATAGGCAAAAAGTCCGTATTTTTTGTCTGGTGAAACTTCATATCGAATAGCTTTCATAGACACCTAAACAGAAAGTAAATTTATTTGAATGCATGTGCATAAATTTGAAATCCAAGAACATGACCATGATACATTTGCTTGCTTCTTTTAAGAAGATGAGATAAAGTTGCCTGTGTGTTTCATAATAGAACCTGGCATTATCACTGAATGCTCTGAAGGAAGGGCAGGACCCAAAAGCTAGGCTTGGCTCACATGTCTCATATGGCATACAGACTATTAAGCAGTTAGAAACGGAAAGATCAAAACGGTGAAACTATCTGTCAAGCCAAGTATGGAATCTGAGCTCTAGGTATGTTAAAAGATCTGTGTTTTGCATTTTCTGCTGCTGCCAAGGCCAAGATATTTAATAAGTTTACTACTTATTCAAGGTGGTACAAGAAGTAAACTAAAGCCATTTTATTGGTCTGAAAACCAGACAACTGTGAAATAAACCTGCCCATTAAATGTGGTACTTACAATTATTTTGTTGTCTATTAACACCGTTGAGTTGTTTGTTTCAACATTGTGCAGTATCACAGAGCCGTTCCGGTTTCTATAAATGAATTCTGTATCTAAAGACGAGAGGAGAGAACAGAACAACAGTGTGAAAGATGATTTGGGTAGAAACCAGGCTTAGGTAGAAGGCGATCCTGGAAGAAAGACCCTGTAGAGCAGGGATGGGCAAATCTGTTTGGCTCTTTACATTTATATATCTATTATTATTTATTTATTTATTATTATTATTATTATTATTATTATTATTATTATTATTATTATCATCATGCTGCTCCTCTTCCTCCTCCTGTACATTCATCGGTGTTTTCTCCTAGTACACATTTTTGCATGCAATTTCCCCTAATATAATGTGGGTTTTATGTTATTTTCACCAATATATGCATTTATATGAACACTTTATTCTATTATATGCATTTTTGTAATAATAATAATAATAATAATAATAATAATAATAATAATAATAATAATAATAATAATAATAATAATTTATTATTTATACCCCGCCCATCTGGCTGGGCCTCCCCAGCCACTCTGGGCGGCTTCCATAAAACCAAAAATACAGTAAAATCACACGTTAAAAACTTCCCTGAACAGGGCTGCCTTAAGATGTCTTCTGAATGTCAGGTAGTTGTTTATCGCTTTGACATCTGTAGCTATAACTTGGCCGGAGAACTGCATTGCAAAATTCAGAGAAGTGCTAAATTCGAAGGAGGGCTGTGTTACAGTTTGCCTAATGCTTTGGAAAGTGCAAACCAGGCAAGTCCACCTTTAAATTTGAACTGAATTCAATTTCTCATGACTTCCCTGCTGGAGAACCTCTGTCAATAAGAACTGGCACGTTGTGCTTGATGTGCAAATAGTCTGACCTGATATAGGCAGACTTCCTGGGTTCCTAATAGGCCCAGCAAGTGTTTGTCATGAATGTGAACTAACTTGGAACCTCTAGGTTACACCTAGAATTTCATGCAACATTCGGGGCACAGAAGTCAGTGTTGAAAGAGTTCCATGAAAATGGCATGTATGAACTTCTATTGCCTTGAAATGCACAGCAATACTGTTTCCAGGTAATTTAACTCAAAGCAACTGGTACAGACTGAAAAGACAGCACTGCAGCAAATGTGATAAATAACTGTCCACTTAAAAAAGAAAGTAAGTTTGCAAACTACTGCTGTATATACTGGCAATAGCTGAATTCCTATGATCAAAACCAGAGATTTTAAACATATCTCTTTCCGCTTCCACCCTGCCTGGATTTTAGTTGACTAGTTTAGTTGGCAGTTAAAGTGCAGTAGGATTTGTTTTCATTATCTCTAATGCAGATTCAGATTCCCACAGGGAGCCTTGAAATGTTCTCTGAATTTGTCCCTCTTCAACCAGCCCTGCTTGCGTAATAAAATGGCTTTGTGTGTTAAGAGGTAACTAAATCCATGTTACTGCAGATGAGTAACAAATCCCCAAGGGCCACAAATCTAGGTATAGTTAAAATATTTTTTGAATGTCGTGATTCTTTTGTGAATGCATGTAACACTATCCGCCATACTTTCCTGGTTAGAGATCCATGAAGTGGAGATATCTTGCCAAAAATTTAATTGCATGGCTCCACATAAAATATCTCAGGAGCTCATAGTGACATACTGTAACCCTGGGCCATAGGCTCAAGAATGCATGTTATAAGGCTGGGATGGGGAACCTCTGCTTCTCCAGATGTTGCTGGACTCCAACTCCCATCAGTCCCAGCCAGTATAGTCAATGGCCAGAGATGATGGGAGTTGTAGTCCAGTGACATGGTTTCACGCTCCCCTGTTTTAAGAACTGGGCCATTTTGTTCAGTGAAAGACTAAATAAATGTCCATACTACAGATCAAACTGGTTTTGCCATGGTTCTGCTATCCAGGAATGTCTGAGAACTGTAATTCCGTGAGACAGAACTCAGAGAGTTCTTAGGGCTTCACCAAATCACAATTATCAGATTGTATTTATTATTATTTTTTGTAAAATCCACAACAACCAAAGGGCCGTTAAACTTACACAGGTTTGTAGCACAAAAAGCACAACAAGAGAAGTGTGTTTGTGAGAGCACAAACTTAATATTTAGTGTATAAAAGAAAACCATGTCAGAAACTGATCATCTGAAATGTAGCCCCCAGTAGCAGAATAACAAACATTCTAGAGCAGGGATGGGCACAATCTGTGACCCTCCAGATTGTGGTGAAAATTCCTGGATACCAAGATCCAAGTTTAGGGGAAGAACACTTTGGTAACAGAATCCCAGCAGAGATTTAAAGTCACAGAATATGCAGCAAAGTAAAGTGTAGACATATAGGCTGTTAGACTTTTAAAATACACCCTTAGAAGTGACTTCCAAAATCCCCTCTTAAAAACTCTCCAGAGGTCAGATTCACGTGCTTCAGAAAAGGTTGCACAGGTAGTAAAATTTAGCTTTTACAAACTGGTGAAAAGTTACTAAATTATTGCTTTAGGTCCTCAAGAGTGGCTGGTGAGAGCCATGCGGTCTGAGCTGTAGCAACCAGCGCAAACCTCTTCACATGTTGAGCTTCTCGGGAGGACAGGGGGAAAACAAAGACTTGATTACAACAACAACAACAACAACAACAATTTATTTATACCCCGCCTATCTGGCTGGGTTTCCCCAGCTACTCTGGGTGGCTTCCAACAAAGATTAAAAATATATTAAAACATCAGTCATTAAAAACTTCCCTAAACAGGGAAGTTCCTAGTTTTTCCCAAAGTGAAGGGAAATAGACATTGCTAAGCCTGGCAGGACAGCTTACTCTATGGCATTAACCCCTTCCTGCATTAATTGGACTTAGGCATGTTGATCATATGAGACTAGTTATCCCACCCAGATGTCCTATCACCTTGAGACAGCATAGCCAACGATCAAGGATGATGGGCATTGCAGTCCAACAGCACCTGGAGGTCCACATGTTCCCCCTCTCTGTTCTAGAGCTACATGGGAAACCAAGCCACATGGTCATCCCCGTGGCAATTGAGACAATGTCTTTATGCATGTTATACTCTGAATGATTAAACCATCTTTGAAGGATTTCACTTCTTTTTGGAAATTCGGACCCTACTGAAAAGAAGAGAAGGAAAAAAAGTGAACCATCATTGATCTGCTGGGGCTGTAGATCTTGCTGCTACAGTCAATACGCGTCATCAGCAAAGGGTCGAAATTTAATGAAGAGCAAATTGGCTTGCTTTAAAGAAGCAGAAATTGATCGGCTTTGTGACCCAAAGCAAAACACAATAAGGCTTCAGTAGTCTCCAAGTCCTGTAATCATTGTCGTCCTAAGAATCAATGAGTAATAGGCCTCCTTTTGTGTTTTGAAATGTGTGATTCATATTATTGAAGCTGAATTCATTTTAATAGGGCGTCCCTCAATCAAAGACAGAAAATAACACAGCAATCTTGGTCTGTAATGAATTCTGTCCAGCAAGCTGATGAGAATTTCAGCCTGATTTATAGCTGTCATCAGAGCTGATAAAGGTCACCACTGAATCTCATTTTTTTAAAAAAAATGTTTCCAATTTTATAGGGGGCTATTTTCAGCCAAAACGATGCTGAAAATACCCAATTCTCTAAGCAAAGAGCTGTTTGTTCAAGTACATATGAAGAATTATCCTGGAATCCCTTGACTCAATAACTTCCTTCGCTGACGATTTCTAGGAATCTGCCTGATAAAGTTCCCATTCCTCAGCAGAAAGCTCTTCCATGCATGCACGTCAGGAAAGAGTACAATTCCTTCCAATTGCAGATCTTTGCTTATGGGGGCTTGAAGGGGGCATTTTGGACGGCAGATGGATCTGCCACAGGTGAGAAGCCCTCATGTGCAGGCAGAACTCTAGCTGCAGCACTTCAGATCTTGCCCATTGATGGGTTGTGGTTTTCCTAAGAACATACGAGCCTGCTGGATCAGGCCAATGGCTCATCTAGTCCACCATCCCATTCTCACAGGGAGCAGGATTCGAGCACAAGAACATTTTCCCCTCCTGTGGCTTCCAGCAACTGCTGCCTCCAACTGTGGTGGCAGAACATCGCCAATGTGACTAGCAGCCATCAACAGCCCTCTCCTCCATGAATTTGTTTAATTTTCTTTTAAAGCCATCCAAGTTGGTGGCCATCATTGCCTCTGGTGGCAATGAGGTCCACAGTTTATCTATGTGTTGCATAATGCGCTCAGTGAATGCTGACTGTCTCAAATGGATATCAATATCAAACAACGTATATTCTATACCTTATATCACATTTTCGAGAAATTGCAGACATTTATATATTGACAGTCACCAGATTTTTTGTGTGTATATATTATTATTATTATTACTTATTAAATATGTATGCTGCCCTTCATCTGTAGATCTCAGGGTGGTTCACAACATAAAAATACAAGATAAAAACATGAAATTAATAATAATAATACCCACAAACTGATAAATCCTTTCCCTTGTAAAAATACAAGATAAAAACACAAATTATTATTATTATTAATAATAATAAAAATACCCACAAACTGATAAATCCCTTCCCCCACCCCAGTCCTATATACCAATAGTAAAAGTATACATAAGAAATGTAGATCAATAAATCTGACAGCAGCTTGGGCCCCTCTTTAGGGATGTTGCTATGGGGGCTGTCATGCACTTCTAAAACTTGCATTAGGCAGCATTTGAATTACATTTCCCAACTGTCTGGAAAGGCTCGTTCTCTGGCCACAGAGAGGCAGTCTGCTGACACATATCCCAAGGAAGTGTGGTCAACACATTGCCACAAGTCTACTCCGCTCCAGCATGCAGCTCATGTGCTGCTCTGTGGATCTGGATGATGGAAGTATCCCATGGCTGTTACACAAGAGCTCAGTTCTAGGAGACTGGGTTCAAAAATGAATTAACTACTGATCCCACAGCACTAAAACACGGTCAGGACCATAAAAAACCTGCAAATGTTACTTATGATAAAGTACAATGGTACATTGGGGCCTGTAGCATCTAAAATTAGGCTAGGGGCTGCAGGTGACTCACGGGCCACCAATTGCCT